TTTCCCCATGACTTCAATGTATCCAAGGGTAAGTGTTTATTTATTTTGGATCCGCAAGGATTTACAAAAGAATATTTCCATACTACGTTTTCTTGGCAAATTATTACTTTTCTGGATGTATTATTTTTTTTAAAAGTAACTGTTTTAATAAAAAGTTGCAATCATGACCTCTAAATGTATGTCCCATTGGTTCTATAGAATAAAATCCAATATAAGGTTTTCTCACCCTTTTAATTTAAGCCAATTCTTTAAAGCTTGGCTGCGGTGCCTTGCTCCTGTGATGCTCAAAGTGTAATAGTGTTTTAAACCCCGACTTTAACGCCTCTACAAATGTACAAAACATTTCTGTCCCTGAAAGCTTTCACTCTGCAGATACTGGTTCCCTCTAGTGGTACGGTCAGTCTTAAATCAAAGAAACAACTTCTTTACTGTCACACTTTGCATTTTGCCCCAGTTAAATAAAAATTATCCAGTCCTGCAAAACTTTAAATTTAAGGTAACCAAGCAACCATCCATTTTAAATAAACAATCGTGTCTGTGTTTATCAGATCTCCACTCTTACCAGCAGTGGCGGCTGGTGAAAAATATTTTTGGTGGGGCTGATATAGCCTAGTGTATGTCTCCAACTAATCCGGAATAAGAATTCGATTAAACAATTGGACAATACATACAATTTAACAGTAATGATTTAATTTACTATATAATAACAGTAACAGTGATGATTTTGGTCACTGTGACGGGGTTCTTTGGCCTCCAAGAATCCAGGCTCAGTCGGGTTACCGGTGTTGGTGATTTATTGAGCTCAAAAACTCAAAATAGGGTGCAAAAGAAACTAAACATATACCAGATACTCTGGGCCTCAGCCTCCCTCCAGTTACCAGCAATGTAACAAAGAAACAGAAAACAAAAATTGCCGCTTTTCTTCCCACAGCCCTCATTAAATAGTTTAAGCCCCTCACCTCAGGCTCTCTTATTTCTGATTTCTTCTCATTAATCAGTTTTGTCCATATATTACCTCCACAAACAATTGATTTACAAAAACAAATAATTTTTACAACTTAATTCTTTTACACAGATTCATTGACTTATTCAATTACACCAAACTGGATTTGAACCCAGCAAAGATGCAGCCAGACTGAAGATGACAAGTCCCCATAGCATAAACACGTAGGCTACACACACACACCCACCACACATACACACACATACACACACACACACACACACCCCACACACCCACACACACACACGGCTAACCCCACTGAAATACTAAGTGTGCACCCTCAATACGCCAGCAGGTAACCAGGAACAGCTTGTGTGTTTTAAGTTCATGGAGCTACTGGTCTCAGCGCGAATGTATTGGTCCTCACAAACACAGTATAACAGGAATGTGTGTGTGGCGCGCAAAGTTAGAGAGGTTGTTTTAAGCGACGAGGTGGATTCGTCAGAGTCACAATAACCATGACATGAAATGTTCATATCCTACAACAGGGATATTCTTCTGGCAAACGGGTAGATAAATAAGGATCTCACCGAATTTGCTGGAAGCTGCATCTCGCTCGTTACATTCGCCATCGTCCCTCTCATTGTCTGCACCTGCGCTTGGGTTCAGAAGCCTGTAAAAGTGCAGTATTTTCAGCGCCCCAAGACCATAAAGTTTCGAGACGCTGATTGGCCATTAAATTCACCTAGCAAAAGTACATGATTGACAGATTCTCTGCAAATATGGGTCAGTCTGATCAGCGCCCCCAGAACAGAGACGGTAGGAGTCTGTCTGTGGAAATCCACAAATGAATGACAGTAGGTAGGGAAATGTAGTTTATATAATTTGTTTTGCTTATAGGTACACAGTCTAGAGAGTAAAACTGACATTTATGATTTAATTTCTAAAAATATATTTTACGTTTCTCTCTTCTTATCAGGGAGGGCGGTGCCCCAGCGCCCCCTATGGGCCGGCCGCCACTGCTTACCAGGCTAGATTTGAACCAGACCTGCATCCATCTGTAACACAAGGTGGATACAGTCCAACATTCCTTATAGACCCAGCAGAGGGCGCTGTGGCACCACAATAAGAAGCATTGGTGGTTATGTAAGATCCTTGTGAAATACTTGCTGTTTCTGGTTCAGTGATGTGTTTTTTGTTTTTGTTTTTTTTTTTTGTTTTTTTACCAGCGTGAGAGATAAGAGAATGAAATATGATCATGAAGAGAGAGATGTCGATATGAGGGTTTATGTAGATCACAGGTTCGGTGAAGGTAGATAAAGAATTAACGATTAGAGCTGATATAGACACTGATAATACAGGCTATGAAATTCACATTCTACATGTTGCAATCCACTTCTGACAATAAAATAACAAAGGTCTAAAAGGCAAGGCGAGAGCGATCGATAGGCTCTGAGTAAACATTAAACAGTGAGGAGTTTTATCATGTCGTAAACTCAGTAGCTCAGACACAGCAGTGAGCTGCTTGTCAGTCCAGTGTGGAACAGCTAATCTGATTATTCTGTAATTGATCAATGTCTACGGCTGTAATCAGGGAAAACGCTGCAGAACCTGGGTCTTTTTTACCCTGGTTTACTGCTGCAACTGCAGTAGTTTTACATCCTATACAGATTATACATGACATTATTGAGTAATATGGGTCGGATCCAATCAGATATTCTATAAAAGGAGCATTTTTATTTTATTCTTAAAATGTTTCCTTTACTGACAAACTCTCACTTTTCTCTTTTTTCTAACTTGAATTTTAACTGTACCTGCATGCTTGTAAACCTGAAATTCCCTGAATGAGGTTTTTTATTCCATGAAAAATTTTAAGCTTTAAACTGAAAGATTTCAGATGATCATGAAGATAACAGAGTTTCTACAGAAGCTGTAAACAAAAAGAAAACAGTTCAGCAGTAACTGAACTGCCGTTTCATGCAGATTCTTCCTTTTTATAAAAAACATAACATTTATTGTGTTTAAAAAGTATTCATACCCATTCCCATTATGTTTTGCATGCAGGCTACATTAACAATTGAGCAAAACTATGTATTTTAGTCTGTAATCTGACATGTTTTATAACCATTTTTTAAATATTTTTCCATCCCCAATCTGAAGGTACTGAATTTGGTACTTTTCTTGGTACCGACCAAATTCCATCAGTAGTATTAAGTGCCAAGATTTGTCAAATCACACGCTACCATGTCTTGGTACCTAAATGCATCACTGTGACAAAAAGTGAGTGGAGGAGTTGTTGATTTTCCATACTAGAAATAAACGCAGTGTTACAGAGAATGTTGCTACAGCAAACAAAGTGAGCATGGCTAATAGGAAGCACTTTAGAGGAAGGCACCTCTTTCCCAAATGCAATGCAGATTACGATCCCTGCAATATTTGTGAAGCAAAGTAAAACACAAGCAGCGGGAATACTGTTTTTACAAGGCATAAAGTTTGCACAAGTTTTAACAGCCTCAGATCAGAGGTTACAACTCCTGCATTTGTCACCATTAGCATCCATTACCCAGCATCATGAGGCAGCAGCGTCGTCATCTTAAGGGCTGGTTATTCTCCCGCAGCAGTGTGTCGCAGTGAGCTTGTCGCAGACATTTTTGATTTATGCCCAATATTGAGGCGTGGTCTGCGCTATGTTATTCAACGCCAAAACGAAACGACAATCACGAACTAGCTGTGGGTCTAGATACGGCCAAGGCGGTGAGGAAGTGGGGGCAAGTTTGTGTGACAACGGAGGGACATAAGGGCGAAAAAGAGCAGGGATCCAGGTGGGAAAAAGGTCCCAGCGTTCTTGCACAACTCACTCTTCTAGCTGGTCCAACTTCTTGAGTCGTTTTCCACAATGGCGGTCATACAGAAAAAACAAGGCAGTAAGGTACCAAACAGGAAATACGCATAGTGTAAAACAAATGTAGATTTGACCAATCAGAGGCCTCCTGTCTGCGGCACTGTCTGCGGTCACCTACAATGTGGGAGAGGTGCAGCAGTGTCTGCAGAAGGTGCGGGGACATCTCTGCGTTCACTGGAAGACGTGCAGACGACCTGGTTTGGAAGTATAAATCAGCCTTGAGTCTGCTTTTGAATTTATGTTTTTTATTTTAACAGTACATAACATACGCCCTGTTAAATACCAACACTGAATCCCAGGTACCTGGTATCACTGTGAAACCTGTTAGCAAACTGGGAATTTGCAATTTTAAAAACACTCAAACTTGCATTTCATTTTTAAGTAAAAATACAAAAGCAATTTTATCTTTATTTTCCACTGCAAGAACCATGAGCAACAATTATGCCATTTATGTATTTTGAATGTTTGCATATTCATGTAGATGTAGCAATAGCAACATTAGCGGTTAGCCGTAATTGATAATTTTTTTAACCATCATTTTCTGGTCTCTTAACATCACAGATAAAAGTGACAAAAGCAGCAACATTTACTGACTGCTAGCAGGTGAGTCCCTGATTGGGGGAATAGAGACCAGAGTGGAGATAGCGACGAAGGCTAATGTTAGCATCCTTCCACTAATGAAGTAAATCAAGAGAGAGTAAAATTGCGCTCTGTTCAGGGTGCGTACTTGCAGGTATTTCTTGTTTGTACAACAAACCAGCACACAAAAAATTAAAAATAATCCTCTTTCACTCCAGATTTTCCGTTTTCAAATGAGGCCCAACACCAATAGACATGATTTCCAGGTGATGACTCCTATAAAGGCAACATACAGCGAACAGGGTTATGTATTTAAGAGTTCGAACCAAATTAGAGTGGAAACCACAGTCTGAAGATCCCTCCACAGATTATGACAAGATGCCACAGGGACAAGCTGAGGCATTATCTAAACCCCTCTTCTATCATCTCGTTCTCTTTCAGTCTTAAACTGTAATCTATCAAACAAAGAAGTCCAGCTAAACCACAAATTGATAGAAAGAAAACTGATCTGATCATTATTCCCCCCAAATCTGCTCCCTCATAATTCGGAGGAAAGTAGGAGATCACCAGTCTTACCCTGGCTGTAGCTGACCCCTGGGCTGAGGTTAGAGGGCGTGGCAATGTGCTCCCTGTTGGGTGTTTGGAGGCCTGCCTCCTTCTCCTTCTCCTTGTCCTGCTCCTTGGCCTGCCGTTGGCTCATCCTGCCTGGGGTCAGAAGGATGCTGTCATCGCTGGACGTTACGGCAGCTTTAGATAAAGAAACAGAAGACATTAGGCCACTTCAAACAGACAATTTCTACACAGAGCCCTCTAGTGGAGCACCAATTTGATGATTCCCCCATTTCATAACCCATACTTGATAACTTACATAACATTTGTTTTCATCTACATCTTATGGGTGGAAATATGATGTTTGTTAGGAGCTCATGAGCACATGGCTCTGTCCCTTATCACTGTACTTTATGTTCCAGTGGATAATGACGCTAGCCAGGATGTTATTGCTTAGGAAGGGAGAGCGTTTCAGATGAGCACCCATGGTGACATGTTTACACGCTAAAGCGTTTACCATCCAGCTTAAAGTGTGTGGCAGCTTTACTATAAAGACCATGAAGATAAATTAGAAATACAGACTGACTGTCCATCAGAGGTGGGAGTCAACAGGAAGCTAGATATACATCCGCTAGATCTTACACAAGAAACTGAAAAGCTTTTAAACATGAACCGATTTTCTACATTTATGTAACAGATGTTCTATAAGGATTTCTGTTGTGAGGTTTAATGTTCTTATTTTTAAACGCAGGAAGCATAATCCTGTCAATCATCTTGCAGATATCCAACGGGGCCGATTAATCCCAAACGCTCTGCTGGTCAGTTAACTTAAAAAAAAAAAAAAAAAATGCTGTGAAACTTTAACTTCACTTATATTAACGACAAAACACTCTTTAAAGCTCAGGCATTGGTTCAGTGAAAATATGAGCTAAAGGGAGCAGTAGATAAAAACATGATGCCGTATTCTCAGATACGATTGTCTATAACCATCGCAAAGGAGGCATCATTTCCTTTCTGGTTGATTTGACATGCTGTTTGCGTCCTCAATCCATAGAGGTTAACCTGCAGGCTGGGGGAGGAGGTATTAGCTCCGTTTCTGTTACAAATGTGCACAAAACTCTATTGATATTGTGCTTATTTCTAAAATAGCAAAGATTTACAATAGCAGTATTTCATTAAATAAAAAATACAGCAGAAGTGAACACATTTGTTCAAGGGATGACTTTCATAACAACATGGCAGCAGGGATGTAAACATGAGATACATCCATATTACAGCCACGGCTCTAGTGGGCGCCATCATCCTCCAACTACTTCTTCTCTATCTTTTTACATCAGTAAGGTACAGCTGCAGGTAACGGGACTCACGTGATGCAAAAAAAAAAGTTTTCTTTTGCAATTTTGTGAAATAGAATATTTCAATACGACTGAAAAAACACCTCATCGAAGGATAAAAACTTTTTATCCTTTTTTTGTTTTTGTTTTTTTAAACAGCCGTGTTTCCATTTAGCTCATTTATTTTCCTAATTTCAGTTTGTGCAATTCGATGGTTCCTGGAAATGAAGCTACTGATTGTGGAACAGAGTTGACCTCTTTCAGATGAACTTTCACACCTCCTCAGACGAAGTGGATAATCTGTGGAAACGCTCTAGTCTGATTAACAGCTTTAGTGAATATATCCATAAAGTACAGCTGGCAAGCTAAGAAGGGCCTGACTGTTAAGCAGCAGAGTGCAGGCTGGGTGTTCCATCACTAATTAACTAGCTAATATGAATTCCTTGTATTGTATTTAAAATTTTTGTGTAAAAATAATGTTAAAAATGAAAACCTTTTTATTTTTTTACTGAATCATTTCACATTGATGATTAATAATCCAAATTTAGCTACAAAACGGCCTAAAACTAAATATTTTCAAAAATAAGCAGTGATGACTCAACAATTTTCAATTAAGGAAAAAAGCACAAAGGGATTAACCAACAGAAAAAATGATTTGTTCTTACACATACAAGCTAACATTTCCGCCAGCTAGCAACAAGGGGATAATGAAAAGCAAAAGAAACATAAACTTAGATATTGTTGGACTTATTTTTATTTTTTTATTAATTTATCTTGGCTTCTTTAAAGTTAAACACTTCCCATGGCTCAGTTTGGCTCCAGATCCCAGCCCTGGACCCAATGCTGACTGTATAAACTGCCCAGAGTCCCCTCCCCCCCTGAAAGGTCGCTGGCTTACCAGAGGCGGCATGATGTTCTCTCAACTCTGCATGGTGCTTGCAGGGGAAAACGAGTGGAGACAGAACAGGAAAAGAAAAAGAAGAAAACAGAGAGAGCAGGGAAAAGGTTGCAGGGATTGAAAAAAAAATGAGTGAAGGTTTTTGGATGCAGAATAAAAGGAGGGGAAGAGGAAAAAGATGGGTGTCCACCATGCGTTGTTGGCCAGATGTTGCCGGGTTTGCGTGCAGCAGGGGTTGGCAGCATCAGCAACAGCAGCGGCAAGTGAGGATGCAGCCGCATGCGACGACAACAAGTGACATTAATCCCCCCAAAAAAGGAAGACAAGAGACAAAACAAAAGAAAACATTAGTTTAACTAAAATGTTCATGAGAGAACATAAAACAAAGTGTATCAGAACATAAAAAGTAATGGCTTTGGAGGGTATAACATGTTAAAAGATAAAATAAAAATGGATTCATTCACATTACACAAAAAGACAAACTATATTGGTTTAAAATTAAATATAGGATTTTCATTTCCTAATCTGCTTGCTAATAAAACAAAACTGAGCAGGATGTTTTTATTTAATTGATGATAACAATAAGATTTGTCTCTTTAAAAGGTCATGCATTGAAGTTATTTTACTTTAAAACTGGGGCAACTTCTTCCAGCTTAGACCAGTTTAGAGGTCGGCAGATAACGTCAATAAACATGACACTAGGATAAATGTTAAAGTTTAAAAAAAAAAAAAAAAAACAAACAAAAAAATAAACATTAAAAATGAATAATTTGTAGGGAATTAAGTTACAATTATTGCTGAAAAGAAAGAATACACTTTTTTTGTGGAAGTTTGAAAAGACTGAAGTCAAGAAATCAATGTGACAAATTTCCAGATCAAAAGTTTGCTGTTTGCAGATAATTTCTATTATTTCTTTATATTTATTACTTTTTACAATTTCATAATTTCTCTTCACTTTTAGTGAAAGTTATTATTATTTTTTTTATTATTATTATATTTTTTTTTTTAAATCAAATGTAGTTTTACAAACTAGGACCAATTTCCTAATCAAAAAAGGCTTTTTAATAAGAAACTTTGCTGGTTGTTTTCTTTATACGTATTTTGAAATTTGATCCTTCCAATAAAGTTTTTTCAAATTGAGGTTCATGAATTGCAATTTAAAAAAAAAAAATTTTTGTGTGTGTTTTACAAATCGGGTTCTCTACATTTCAAGGCTAATAAAAAAAATTTTCCTAACATGTATGAGTAGACTAATAGAAATCCGTCGTTCCAGAGGAAAGCCCGCACCTAGAAGCTTTTAAAAATTTCCTTTTTGGGATTACATTTTCTAAATTCCCATTTACAAAACATAATCTTTGCTTTCAACAATAATGGAGAAAAATTTTCTCCATAGATTAGTATAGAGGGAGCAGCAATACCTGCACTTCATCTGATCTCAAGTCATGGCTGACGGATCCACCAATGAATCAACCAATATGCACATATCAGCCGATGCAATGAAAAAAGAAAAACAACAAACGCTAATATTTTCCAAACATATGGGCCTGCTGATGTATCCATCTTTATTGATTAGCCTGCATTAACGAGGCAGGATAAGCAGCAAGCAAAGATACACTTAGGAACACGCTGACAAGTACAGTACAGAGTTATTACTCCAACAATCTGACCACCAAACATCATAACTCCAGGGGGCGCTGTTACATATTTACCTGACTACTCTGCTATCCACTAACTATAACCTCACAGGGCTAAAACCTAAATAAGTCTGTTGTTAAACAAATGTAGCGCCCCCTGTCTGCTTAATATGCGGGAGAAAAATAAGCCTCCGGGTTAATAACTGCTGCTGGTAAAGTCAAAATTAGCATCCTTCTTATGTTTCACTGCTAAATGATATATGGAACAATCTTTTAATCGAAAATATCACAGATGCAAAGAATTGTTTGGATGTAACATATAGAAAGAGGTGTTTACATTTCAAGTGTCGGGCAGTCAAATAAAAATATGAGCAGTTTTATGTCCACAGATGATATAGATCTAAATAATATAGATGATGTGCCTGTTCAAAAAGTTTCCCACCATAATCAAAAATAAAATCAGTAGTTCACACAAGGTTTCAGGAAAGGGTAAAGTTACTGTGTAGCCCTAAATTTAAGTTAAACGAAATAATCACTTTTGTTATTATTTAAAATTACAACTGTAAAGAAGAAAAGACAGGAGATTAAAAAAATTATATTATGAATGAATAAATAGCATGCTTTACACTATGGGTGAAACTACCCCACTGAGGTACAGTTATAACTCAGTGTTTCCTATTTCTGGGTCATTGCTGAGAAATTTCAGTCCCATTTGTGAAGAAAAAGGCTAATACAGAAAGCCCTGGGAGCGAGAAACCGCCACCGTTCATTCCAAGAAATGGAAAACAAAACAGCAAAAAGCTGTTCAGTTGGAATCCTGTCAGGTTTCATTGAGAAAAGGAACAGACGACACTAAGAGCTGCTTGCAACAATAAGAGGAAGGGATTAGTAAACAGTCACTGAACGTCAGAGGTCGATTAACAAACCTTAATCTCAGCTCAAGGTGATCGTCATTAGATTGGAAAGTACGGTTATACCTGGATGCCGTAAAAGACGCTACGATTAGTTGGCTTTGAGCCGGAGAGACAGGAACATTCCTGGAGAATTCTGCCTAAATAGTTGGAAGATCTGAAGCCAAAGTCTTCATTTAGTGCTGCCTTAGTGGCTTTCCTTGGCCACAGAGAGAGTTTAATCCAATAAAAAAACTATTCTTACAGTCAATTTCTCTGAACTGGTTCAATAAGAGGTGAACTTAAAATAACCACAGTGGCCTTACTTGACTGACTGACAGATGACTAATAGTCGAGGCTGAAGAGTGAAGATCTCTCTAGACGCACAGTTACAGGAGTAAACATGCACTAAGTGTCAGGATTGGAAGGCAAGATTATATTAAGGCTTTGAAAGCTACTAGAATTAAAAACGGATAAGCAATGGGTGGCATCCAGGGGTGAATCTACAATTTAAAGCGTTTTAGAGCTAAAAAAAAAAAAAAAAGATATATATTAAATTTACAAGTTTTTGATGGTTTTATATTTTATTGTTCCTTAGGTGCTTAATGAGTCTGTGGAGTGAATTTAGTTCAACTATTGTTTCAAGCAAAGATAAAGTTTTAAAAATGGAAATTAAAATACCTTTATAAATAAATACTTTTATAATATACATTTATAAATGTAAATCTGGTGGAAAAACAACAATACATTTTTGTAGGTGTAGGCTAAACTTAAAAAAAAAGGGGGGGGGGGGAATTGACATGTTTAAACATGTTTAAGAAATGCATTCTGTTCAAATTGTTTTTTGCAGATCACACCCTCCCTACCCATTATTGGCATACCCCAGCCCCCCATTCCTATAAAAGCAAACAAAGACATTTGTGTTCAGCTGTGATAATTTTAAATTTTAGAAATTAAAGTATATATTAATGCAGTATTCTCCAGCTGGCATGTTGCCCCTCCCAGACTTGCTGCTGCACACCTCCAGCCAACTAGCTGAGGGAAAGGATCACACTTCATCTACTGTTCTCCCAAAGTTGTGGTTTAGGAAATAATTCTAGTTGCAAAAAAACAGTCTTAACAGCTACTATTCTGAAACTTTTAAAGGCTTCCTTTCTCAAACATGTCTTAAGCAAATTCCCGAATGCCCTCAACAGCATTCAGCTCTGCAGAGGTTCTTAAAAGGTCACTTAATTGATTTAGTAATACTTTGGAAGATTGAATAATCAAATCTCACAACACAGTGATCAGTGTTAGGCACATTACGTTGAAAAAGTAATTAGTTATAGTTACTAGTTACTTCTCCCAAAAAGTAACTGAGTTACTAACTGAGTTATTCCACAATAAAAGTAACTATTGCGTTACTTTTTGCGTTTCTCGCTCCCATAACCCTCACCACCCGGCCCCTACCTTCTCGCCATGCGTTTCAAAAGCCAGCTGAATAGAGCGGACGACAAAGACAAGAACATGCAGAGAGTTTTGCATTTATTGCAACTCAACGTAAATGACATCAGGGGGGCAATGCTATCTGACGGGGTTTATAGGCCTTTCCCCCTGCTTAACAGAGATTTTGTAGATTTTGATATTAACTCCATTCGTGTGAAAAGAGATTATAGCTCAACCTGAGATCAATAATAACTGCATATGAGCTGGGGGGTTTTATGTCCTAAATGAACCAAAGAGGATTAGGACCACTGAAAAAAAAAGTTAAATGAAATATTATTTCAGTACAATATGAGAAAATCTCAGAATTCTGACTTTAATCTCAGAATTATGAGATTAAAGTCAGAATTCTGTCTTTGTTCTCATATAATACTGAAATAAAATTCAAAATCAGTTAACTTTTTTTATTTTTTCAGTGGCCCTAATCATCTTCCGTATGTTATGCATGTAAGCTTATTATTAAAATCTTCCAGGTTTTTCTTACTAAATCAAACATCTCTAAAGTAAAGAGAATCGTTCCCAGCTGGGATAAACATGTACATTCTATGTTTATCCAATGCTGATTTTAATATTTTACAAGCAGTTTGTAATTAAGCAGCCAAACAATGAGTGGCTATTTTAAATCTGACCTACCATTTGCATAAAATGAGTAAAACCTTTGTTTTTGTTAGAATTCTCAAGGCAACTGTTTTACTCTCCATCTGTTCGCAGTTTTTTTGTTACAGCTTACAAAATAGAGCTAAGATCATGTTTGCGTAAAGCATTTAAAGTCAGCAGGATCTTTGTTGACAAAACAAACATTTTTTATGTAAAACTAAAGATTTTATGAAGTGAAAACAGTCAAAACATAGAGGCATTTCTAGAATACAGCATAGCGTGTTTTATCAGTGCAGAGAGTAACCACAGATACAAACTGGTGCATTTAAACTTTAAGGAAAACTATTCTGGTGTTAAAACAAAAGATATAACATTTGAAGCTAGCAAACTACATTTATTTTAAAAAATGTAAAGCTTGTGAAAAAATGCAATTC